CTTGGTAAATCTGTTCCAACCACTCTCTGCCTCAACGGATTTAGCCTCCCCATCAAACTCTGGTGGACCGGGCGGAAAAACTCCTTAGTAAGCTGATAGCATGCCGCGCGCCCCTCATGCGAGCTTAGGCGTCTTGCACTGCTCCTCACAAGCTCACGTGCGACTCCTCGCCACAGTCCGATGCTGCAACGGCGGGTACTAAAGGAACTGTTGTGCCCCTACCGACACTCCTTACTACTCAAACCGTCCTCTACTTCCTCGTGTAGACATCCTATAAAGCACATAAGCAAACACCACGGCTTAGTGCATAAACACAATAAGCCTTCTCCGAGGCACACTCCACTACTAAGTCACAAGATATACACCTCTATTGCATATAAACATCTAAACATATAAACACATAATCGAATCAAGTCTACAAAGATAGCCACTCCATCCCGAACTCTCAAGGAATTCCCATCAGAAACCACGTTGAATCAGGCGTATTTCCAAAAGGACCTCAAAGCAAGCTTCACCAGCTATGAATACTATCCGAGAGACTAAATCCCATGCTCACATAAATGCAACACATAAGTTCCTAACTTTCATGATATCTATATGCAACGTCCTCACAATACGTAGTAAAACCCACTATGGTAAAAACCACTCCCACGAGCCCAAATTATTCAAACCCGGCTCGCTTTGATAACAAGTTGTCACGCCCCACTTTTTATTACTCGGAGTCATTTACCAAATTTCTTTAACTTGATCCAATTTCAGAGATAACATGCGGAAAAAAACTTCATCCATTCAATCCGTAGAAATGATTAACAATACTCTCATTCGTATGCAAAGTAAACATTACATGAACTAACTTAATAAATTGCCCTTGGGCTTACATCATTTAAAAGTACAATAAGAAGGGTGTAACCCTTTACAACAAGGCATTCCACCAACATAACTAAGCCCGTGGCCAACAAATAAGTAGATCCAAATCTTACAGCTCAACCTGCTTGAAACCTGAAAAGAATTCAACAACGTGGGATGAACATATAGTCCAGTAGGGATCGCAACATGATCCTCAACAATAACAACATTACAGATAGCTATGATCATGAACACTCATTCTCATACTGAATAATAATGTGACAGTTTATACAAATACATATATATATGTGTATATGAACTTTTCTCGAAAATAACATTTAATTCAACGCTATAAGCGATTTTCATCTTTCCTTTTTTTCCTTTCATTAACCCCCGTTCCCAATCTTTTATAACATTAACAACTACTTAGAAACATAGATTCACTAAGCCCATTACTCTTCCATTGCCACACATACAACAGATGTGCCTTTTCAAACATATTTGGCATTTCAATGCAATTCCAATTATATCATAATTATCCATGCACACCTCTATAAAAAAAAAAAAGATAACAACTCAACTACATACATAAAATCAATCAATGAGTCAACTCGTCCCTCCAAACACTGTAACAAATACATCCACAATGTTTCCAGATACACTGAAACAATAACAAAACAACACTGCACTACTAGCTAGTATGCGTAGTAAGCCAAAGATGCACTTCTCACCACAATCTACCAGTTTACCAGGCGGCTAGCTGGAAGGGTATGGTACCTTAGATTATCAGCGCGTCAGTTCTCCAGGCGCTAGCTGGAAGGGTATGATACCTTTGATTATAAGCGCTGAACACATAAGTGTGTGGAGTTCATCCCCTATCTTCTCACACACACTGGGTACAACCCCTCTCTTCTCCCAAACCAGTATACAAATATAATGTAATTCAGCCATTTCATCACATATAATGTTCAATCAACAATGATGTATTACATACACAGCAATTCAACGCAACCATACATCCTCCACCGATGACCAAGACAAAATCTCTAGATGCATGCATATTGTACATCTATTAACAGACCCAACTAACATAGATATAAAACTCAGCAACAACATGATCATGGTAGTTAAAGCTATACCCCACACAAGTATGTTCAAACACTCAAGATACAACATTCCAAATTTTCTTATACTTGTTTCAAAATACCTTTTCCATTTCACAAAATGAATTCCACTTCCTTTGTTTTCACAAATCATGCCCAAGGACAAAAGCCATAACTCATTTAAATTCACTACATTCTTTTCAAAGCCATTTCGAACTAATTATGCAAATTAAGTCATAAACAATAATTAGGGTTTTCCTTCCTTCCTTCCTCAATATTTGACCAAAAAGGCCCAATTAACATCAACAACAACAATAACCACAATTAAGACTCAAAATACCTAAGTATTTGCCCAAAGATCTAAACCCCTCAATTAATTATTAAATCGAATAAAAAGAATTAGGGTTTCCTCTCCTTTCAACAACCACATGCTAATTAACACACCAATTAGCCCAAAACAACTCTCAATGATAACATAACCATTTTCAAATACCCAACCCTAGGTTCCTCCCCATGATTTCAAACAA